CCACTGAGAAGCACATTAAGGGGCTGTCAGCTTCTCGCCATGCACCCTGCATCACTCTTTAAGCACATGAGAAGTTCATTATCCCCGGAGCTCTGGCAGCCATGGGGAGGCTGGCGCAGGGAGCGTCGCGAAGGTGCTGCTGCCCTCAGCCGTGTCTGGTGGCTCCCAGGCCCTCCTGGCTGCCTGGACAGGGGCTGGGGGTCCCAGGCATGGAGGAGTCACGGCTGCGGGGTGGGCTCTGGGTTGCTGCACGGCAGGACAGGCACTCCTGGCTGCAGTGCTTTGCTGGGCTCTGATCAGAGCAGACTTTCCTGATGGTCCCTGCGGGCTGACGCTGCAACCCCACTGTGGTGATGAGCATCTACATCCCCTGACAGCCTGACACACGTTTGCCAGCCTGTGGGCGCTCCCTGACAGCCCGAGTCGCACTCCCTGGTTTGGTGATATCCCCGGCAGCCCAATCCCACGCCTGCCATAGTTTGCGGATGCTCCCTGGCAGCCTGACACTGCGCTCTCTTTAACATGAGCCCATGTAAAAAAGCAACAGCTCGTTTGATTTATGATACTTCAGAACAACTAAGATTCAATTGCTCCGCACGTCCCTGGCTCTGATTACCTCCTAAATGAGATAAACTGATGGCAATTTATCCCCAGACCTCACCAACTTTCCCAGGATGCTAACCTGAGCGGCTCGTGCCCTGCACACGCGGGCATGAGGCGGGTGCAGGCAGGTGAAGGCAGTCTGGGCACAGCCCAAACCTGCTCCCCTGCACACCCCCACAGCTGCTCCTGCCCAGAGGGATGCTGTGACAAGAGGCTGCGCCCCACACTGCACCTGGCCCCATGCAGCTCCTGGAAGGAGGTTTTGGGGGAGTCCTGCCATGGGCACTGCTCCCCACACTGGCACAGTCATTCTGGCATGCACTGATGGAGAGCATGACTCGTCACTGGGCCATCCCCATGCTCCTGCCAGGACAGTGAACCCTCCACAGAGGGACGAGCACCATGAGGGACTGTAGCTCTGCTACAAGGGATGGCAGCTCTGCCACAGGGCCTGGCAGTCCCTCTCCCAGCACAGCAATTTCACACCTTCACCGTGTTGACTACGTGAAAGCAAAAAGCTCAGATTACTCTGCTGTGAAAAAAAAATGCTGAAACTGTTCAAAAGCAGTTAAAAAAGATTCAAGGTGGGATCAGACATACTCATGAACACCAGTCCATGACATAAGCCATTGGCCACAGCCATGATGTGGGGCAACGTTCAGCCTTGGGTTCATGGCTGGAATCAACCACTGACCATTCAGACGTCAGGATGGGACCTCACATGGAGGCTCAGCATGTCCTGTGTGCTTCCTGCCAGTCTCTCCCTCTAATGCAGGCAGTGACCCAGTGGTCACCACGTGAGCACCAGTCCCAGAGTCAATTGCTCCTCTGCTTCTGCCCTGGGCTGTCTGTCCTGGTGACAAGCTGTTGCAGCGCCCGGAGCTGGTCAGCTCTTGGAGCAATCCCAGTGCTGGGAGGCAGGAGAGAGACCGAGTCGCTCATGGAGGTACCACAGGCATGAGACCCAGCAACAGGCAGGGGATTGTCCATCTGGAAAGGAGTGTGTGACCCAGCTCTGTAAGTCATACTGAGCACAGGGATGTACAAGGACCCTCCCCTGACAGGGACGTCCCCCTCTCCCCAAAACAGGGCATGCAGCTCTTCGGTACTGGAATTGGCTACTGCAGGACCAAGCTGGGAAGTCCCAAGCACAGCAGCAGTGGCTGCTCCCATGGACTTGTAGCACGGTCCTGCTGGCATGGACACTGCCTGAAGCCCCTTGGACATGCAACAGCAGGTTCTGCTGATACAGGAGGAGCTAGGAGCATGACAAAACTGACCCAGCTTTTAGAAGTCCAACTGGGCAATTGGGTCCATTTTCTAATACAGGTTGCTTAAAAAATAAATGCAAGGGTAGTTTGTTAACAGCCAACCAAAATCCTGAAACCACTGTGCACCACCCCGTGGCACCACTGTGCCCCAGTGCAGGTCCAGGAGCAGCAGGGTCCTGTCACCTCTGCCTGACTACAGTGCTGAGCCAGCAGGTGCTGCACCCATTCACCCACTGAAGGAGGACATGGGGGCTGGGAAAGCCTGGATTCATGCTGGAGACAGGGAGGATGGGTTGCTTGTGCGACTGTGGGTCACAGATGCCCCCTCTGCTCTGCCACGCGTGTCACGCAGTGTTCACACTGCTCCTTCTCGCTGCCATGCCCGAGCACTGCAGATCACAGCAGGGGCACTCCTGCTCCCGGTGGCAGCAGGAGGATCCAGGGTGTGTGAGGTCTGTGCAGTGACAGATGAAGTTTGGTAACTGACACTTCACTGGCAAATGAAGTTCTATGTTGACAAATGCAAAGGAATGCACATTGTAGGAAAAAGTTATATTACAACACCTGACAGGGCTCTAAATTACATTATCAACCCAAGGCAGGGCATGGGCATCACTGCAGGTACCACAGACCTCTGCCCAGCTCACTGCCATGGCCAAGAGCCAGGGAACAACAGAAAATACTCTGAGGTCCTTGTGCTTGCCACCTGGCTCCACACCATCACTCCACCTTCCAGGGATGCTGCCAAACCAGGAAGGACAGCAAGAGTGAGCACATGTCTGAAAGAAAATCTCTATGAAATCACAGAAAAACTGGGAAGGCTCAAAGACTCCTGGCCTGGGCACTCAAGGAGGAGCGTGACAGCCCTCCAGTCTGTGTGTCTGGAAGCAGAGGGCTGGGAATTCTGCCAATCACACACGTGTTGTGGAAAAGAAACTAATTAAATTTTAAGGCTGAGCAGTAGTAAGTCCATATTACAGCTTCATAGAAGAGTTCCCACATTCAATTACCTTTACAACTACGAAACTACATTCCATTTTGTGCAACTTGAGGTCCCAGCATCTGCACCCCTCACACTCTATCAGCTGTGCTAAGCAGCTGCAGGACCAGACTCTTCCTCTGCAAGCACTGACACATCAGTCCTGTGCTTCTTGTTCTTCACTGTGGTCAGCTGGATGCCTTCATGTCCACGTCATAAACATGGTCATCACACCCAGGTTGGGTTTAGGACCTTCTTTGTGACTCAGAATATTATTTACAGGATGGGACATAGCACTTCAAGCATGTGCTTTCTCAGTCTCACATGTGGGTGCAAATTCATTCCACCCTTCACTATCCCATTCCATACAAAGAATGAGTCTCTCCTTTTGCTAATCACTGGCCTGAGAACTGCAAACCATTTTGGGAAGGGCAGCAACAGGTCTGAGGAGGCAACACACACCCAGAGCTAAGAACAAACTGCAACTACAGACAATGCTTCTCACTGCCCATGAGACACCAGTGGGTATGACAGACTCAAATGATGCTCAGTGTGCCACAATCAGCCTCCACAGAGGGGAATCCTGTCCTAGTCTTGGTGGACTTCAGATGCAGACAACTAACAACAGAAATGCAGAACAACAGAACTGTCCAACTCTGCACATCATTACCACGATGTTTCCAAGAGAGGGAACTTAAGGAGAGTTGTTCTGCCATGGGACACCTAGGCTGCAGGCTGACCTGTGATTTGGAGCAAGGTGCCAGGACAGCTGCAGCAGCTTCAGGCACAGACTAATGCTCTCTGGTTTAGCTTCACTCACTTGCACTGAACCCCCCTCCCACCGCCCTGAGCCATCCAATTACATCTTTATTTTGGGTGTCCACAAAAGCTTATTGAGTGCTGTGGGACAGGATGACCAAGAAAAAAATCAAATCTTACAGACTGAGGATCCCCTTTTCCAGAAGCTAACCACACATGCAGGCTTTGGAGAACATGGCTGCTGGGCTCATCTCTACCTGGACAAATCTGGATGGTTTTTCCCAGCAGAACATTTCCCTGTGCCTTGGAGCTTCTCTGCCAAGCTTTGGGTCCGTCTCCCGCAACCACAGAGATACCAAAGCTTCTCAACAGAAAAACCATCAGTGCTTTGAGCATCAGTGAAGCAATGCATAGGCCTTCAGCTGGTTCCCTGAAGTAACCAAGCTTTTCCAGATGACCCAGTGCAGGTCTTTTAAATTATGAAAGTTTGATCAATTTACAAGACAACAGAAATAGGTTCTTGTGGTGGAAAGTGACCACACACCTTAAGCACAGTTAAGCACACCTTAACCATGCGGTGTGCTCTCAGGTCTGCTACTACAGTTAGTAACTATAATTACCACGGAGAATCTGTGTAGGCATGGGCACAACGGTGGCCCTGACTGCACTGTGCATGAGAAACGGAGGGAAGGGCAGATCAGAAAGACTGGTTGCTCCTTCCTGCATCGCATAGGTAACTTGGACAAGGAGTGTTTTGAGCCCCAGATCCTCACTAAGTGCCAGATAAGGAGTGCTCTGAGCTCCAGGTCCCCATTGAGCCTTGGATGAGGAGTGCTTTGAGCCCCAAGACCCCACTGAGCCCGGATGAGGAACACTCCAAGTCCCAGACACCCACCAAGCCTCGCAGGACCCCTGGGTGCCTGGTGCTCCAAGCTGGCAGCACTGACCCTGGGCAGACCCTTCCTACCTTCTGCTGCCGTGCTGGGGCCGTCAGGCCGAGTGGTCCCTGTGCTCTTTTTCCTGCGATGCTTCTTCCTGTTGGCATGTGGTGATGGAGGCGGCTCCAGCTTCGGGCTGGCGGCACTGGAAATGTTCGGGCTGGAGCTGAGTGAGTCAGCAGTACCGTTAGCTGGGGACAAAGACAAGGCAAGTCATGTACAGCGGGACAGTGACCGTCTGCTCTTCCCAGAGACGCCCAAGTGTCCTGGAGCCAGCCCCAGTATTGCCTGGCTCAACCCACATGGCCTCACGAGACCAGGCAGTACCCGCTCAACCTCATGGCATGGGGCTGCTCCAACACCCATTCCAGCTCAGAACTAGCAGCTTCTTGGGCATGGTCAGGCTGGACATGCTTCACACTGGGATCCATCTGGGATGATCACACAGGGGCAGTGCTGGCATCTATGCAGCTGGGACACGCGCAGCAGCATCACTGGGGCAGCCTGATTATGCCAACCCCCAGCACATGTCCCTGAGTGAGCTGCTCAGTGACAGCATCCTCACAGGGTGGCACAAGTGTTTTGGGAAGGCACAAGCCCAGGAGGTGCTCTTGACACCCCCGGGGCAGATCCAGGCCCCAGGATCTGCAGAACCACTGCAGAAGCACCAACCCCCCCCCGGCACTGCTCTGCCAGACGAGGTGACTGGGGTTGCCGCACTCAGGAACCTGAGCATGATGGGCTCAATAGGCTTCCGATACGGAGCTGAAGAAGCTGCATCCCCAGCAGCAACGCACCAAATTTATCCTCAATCATACTGTTCCTTACAATTAATAGCAGAATTAGAAACAATCAGGGAGCTGCCTAATTACTGTCAATTAGAGTGCGCTAATCAAGCTCCGATCACACACACACACGCTGCCGCTGCACTCACCATTAAATGTCAAATTTCATTAGAGACCAGCAACAAAATCAAAAGCCTGACATTCAATTTCAGCAGCACACACAGCGCAGGCTTCCAATCAGCATAAAAATGCAGGCTCCGGGGAAGGCAACGAGGCGCAGGAGCCCTCACTGCACTGTTAACCCTCTCCTAAATCCACTCCTGCCTCTCCAGTGTCCACCCACCCCTGGGCCATGGGTGGCAGCTCCACGTCCAGGACCTCTGCCCCCGGGAGCTTGCTGTCCTCTCTGCCACAGCCCAGTGCCTCCCATCAAGTCCTGACCTCCCATTTCCATGTTCTCCGGCACCTGGAATTAAGAAAGTAATCACAGTGTTGCACAAGGACAGCAGCTCCAGCAGTGGGACTGCAGGGACCTGCCAAGCCCTCCTCCCACCCCAGCCTGGCCTCTGCCTCCCCAGTTTGGGCCAGTTCAGTCACACTGGCTCCCTGGGGCGTGGTCTGTTTCCACAAACACCAGCAGTGGAGTGGAGGGGGGTGCAGAGGGGCACAGAGGAGGACAGGCAGCAGCCAGGTGCTGCCCTAGGCAGGGGTTGGGGTGCAGCCAGTGTCCCACTCTCACGGCTGGGAGAAGCTGCAGCATTGGAGCTCTCCCAACTCTCTCTTCTCCTCCACCCACATACACTAGTAGGGTGTTTCTGCTGCTATTTATCCACAGGGAAATAGTTCACCCTTGACAATTAAGAGAGATAAATCTAATAAAGTCAGACTCCAGTTTTATAAATATAAATTACTAAAACTGTTACAGGACTGCGCTTAGAGCAGGTGTGAGGCACCTTCAGCTCCCAGCAGCACGTCACAGGGGACCTGAACTTTCTCGTCAGTGGCTACACATGGTGCCTCCAGCCTCCCTCTGCTGCCCACCTGTTCACCAGGATGCCCCCGGGGCCCAACCCCACATGGCCCGCACCCTGCCCCCCCTCCAGGCTCAGTGAGACAGGTCGTGAGCTCCCACACTCCTGCTAACATGCCTGCAGCCTGCGGTGAGCCCAGCACCTCCTGCTCCCTGAGGGATAATCACCCACCTCCCTGCTCTTACCAGCCAGCAGCCAACACCAGAGCTAGGGGCTTCCAGGGCCCTGTGGGATGGGGACAGGACAGCAGTGGGGCGGAGGCAGCAAACATAACATGCATGATCAGGCGTTGCTTGCTCTCCCTCCTTCCCCAACAGACAAGTGAGCTCCTCTGACCCACCCAAGGATTTCCAGGTCCCCATCTCACCATGGGAACACTCTGCAGGCACATCTGGGAACTCCTGGCTCCCCCATCCAAACCAGCTGGTCTTACTGGTAGCCCTGGGACAAATGTACTGGAGCATGTTTACATGAATGTACAGCCCCGTCCCACTCCTCTTCCATGTGCTCTCCAGGGCACAACCAGAGCAGACAGCCTATCCCTGTGTGAACTGAGTGGGCACCCTGCACCCTCAGCTCTGAGCAAAGGAATATGGTTTGCGTTGGACCTTTAAAGTAAAGGCCACCTAGTCCACCCCTCTGCCATGGGCAGGGACACTTTCCAGTAGACCTGGCTGCTCCAAGCCCCATCCAGCCTGGCCTGGAACACTTCCAGGGATTAGGCAGCCACAGCCTTTCTGCACAGCT